GCGGTGAGAGGGGGCTCAATGCTGAAGCTGAAGATCGAGGGGTGGAAAGCTTGGCAACGGACCCACCAATGAGAGTCGTAGCGCAAACCCGTCGGCGCATGTCCCCTTCTTCATCCGTGTGTTTAGCTCGCCTAGCCCCCCAATTTCCAGGGCAACAGCGCAGGGGAGGTCAGACTCCGGCATCCAAGCTGGACTCCTCCACCCAAACCCAACTCATCTCACATCCGTTCGCCAAAAGCCAGCCTTTCTCGACGCAGATCTCATGCCATCAAACGCTGCCAAATACTAAGCTTAATGGGCTTTAGGCTTGTGATTAGCATATGACGACAGCGTATGCAATTCTCGCCAACCTGTTGAACTTGGGATTGGGCTGCGAAACCGATTGATCATCTCAAGCGTTCGTGTAGTGACCGATTGGCATTCCAGAATATTGCAGCTGGGAAGGTCTCGGTTGGAGGCAGAGCACAGCTGTTTCCCGCCCATCAGTTTCGGCTGCTCGGCCGGTCGGGCACGTGCAGTGTACTGCGAAGCGCATCCTGCTTCTTCAAGCTGGAGACTTTCTGCGACCAGGACGCATTGCCCAACCGGCGGTCGCATGAGGGCAGCAGATCCGGGCATGGAAAGCTGACATTCTTTACCCTGTCGCAGCACCGACACTGCACATCCGCTCCTTTATATCCACGGGCATTGGTAGCCTTCTTCTACCTGCACAACATAAACCCTACTCATTGCCTTTTCCATTTATCCTCCAGCCAGTCCTGCTACTCCTTACACGAGAACCCCCAAACTCCTCCGCCCCTTGGTCCTCATAATGCCTCGGACAACAACCCCGACATCCAAGAAGCAGCCGCTCACTTTTGCGCAACTCGCTGCATACGACGATATTCTGACGGATGCCTTGATTGACCGTGTGAGTTGCCCAAAGCACTGATTTGGAGAGACCTGGGACTGACCTCGAACAGGTCTACTACTGGACAACAATCCCCAAAAACCGGCCATCATACCATCCTTCGCGCGGTGTCCGGGAAGAAGAGATCGCCAAGATCATTCAAACCTACTTAATCGTTGAGCCGAATCTCGATGTCGCTGAGCAGAAGCTGCTGGCAACCGACGGCTTGAGAAAGTTTCATGACTCGCTCAAGACAGCCAAGGAAAAGGAAGACTTTAGGGGCCACCTTCGCCGATACATGTCCATCTACCTTCCGGAATGCCCGTTTGAGGTTAATGCTACGAACCGTTACACGATTGAATCTTACGAAGCGAGCATCACGGCGCGACGATCCATCAGGCGCAATGAGGCAATCAAGTACTTGGCCGGGATTCAGGTGACAGTTACGCCAGAGGAGGAGGCTCAGCTGGCGTTGCGCAACAAGGATTTCAGCCTCGTCGTCAGCAGCAGAAGTAAGCTGACTAGTTTATTCATGGGGCCGGCGAGATTTGCCAACCACGACTGCAAGGCAAATGCTCGGCTCGTTACAGGCGGTCAGGCAGGGATCCAAATTTTCGCTTGTAGGGACATTGCGGTTGGGGAGGAAATCACCGTCACGTATAGCGAGAGCTACTTTGGGGAGAACAACTGCGAGTGTCTCTGCCAAACATGCGAGGAGAACGGGATAAATGGCTGGATGCCCGAGGAGGGCGTCTTGTCGGTGCATCGAAGCATTGAGGACAGTACGTTCGGCGCTGATCAGGGTTACTCGCTACGGCGCCGGAGACGGGATCGCAGCATTAGTGTCTCGGGGTCCCGCACATCATCAGTCACACCTGACATCCGGCCCCGTATTTACAGGGGAATCAGGCGTCGGTCAATGGCGGGAGATAGGGCATCCACCACGGATTCTCTTGACGGTGAACGGTCGACTATGTCCAATGCTTCACTGAAACGGAAGCCCGATACGGCAGGCTTAAGTTCACCACCGCTTACGCCAAGTAAGCGTCTCCAGTCTGATCGCTACAACAATGCTCCGATCGCCGCCAGCATCTCAAGGGACAGTTCAGCAACTGGATCCGCCGGCGATTCCGTGGAATCGGAGGACGGAAAGGACGCCCTCACTGAAGCCACATCCCCAGAACCTGATAAGCCAGGCCTTCTCCTGTCGCCAGAGCTTTCACCCGTGAAACAGGGCACTGCGGCTAACGGTCAATTGGCTGGCGTGCGATTACCACACCTGCCCCTGACACCCTCGGAGACGCTCAAATTGCCGTTAATTCTTCCCACAACGGAAGGCGAGCCTGTACGAGGACCAGCTGGCAAAGCAACGACTACAGCACCCTTGCCGCTCAGCTTGGATTCGTCCGCGGCCTCAAGATCAGAAAGATCTAGCGATGTCTTGCCCCTCTCTACTAGACTTCTTCGGCTTCAAGAGGCTGAGGACAGCTCTCGGCAGGATTTGCAAAAGGGGGTTGTTGGCAGTCTTAACACGGGCAGCGCGGAAACCACGCCTGACGGACAGATAGAGGACGCAGGGTATCGTATTCAACAAGGACTGAATACGGCAACACCGGACGAGCTTAGTAGAGCAGAGGGAAGCACGTCTACACGTACCAAAACCCCCAGGGACGTAACGGCTACAGTCACACCAGCTTCCGCAACGGGGCGAAAAGGGCGTGGGGGGTTCAAACAGCCCGCTGAAGACCCTCCGCGAAAGCGTCGAGTCCCTGGCGATTACACGCTCACCCCGCTGCTTCTCTCAGAGCCTGAAACAGCATGGATCTACTGTACGAATTGCAACACGGCGTTTGTGCAGAAGGACGCCTACTTCACGCGCGCCAATTGCTTCCGATGCGAGCGCCACTCTAAGCTTTACGGCTACGTTTGGCCCAAGACGGCTCCGGCTGGCAAACATGACAAGGAGGCGCGGGTACTCGATCATCGGGAAATTAACCGCTTTTTGCACCCCGAGGATGAAGCAATCATACGCGGGTGGAAGCCGTGGAGGGAGCGCTTGACGGGTGCGAGTACAGAGCCCGTGAGCAGTGAGGAGCGTGGGCGAGAGGCGCTGCGTAGGCAATCTGATCGATCGATACGTCGAGCGTCTTCGAATCTTGAGGTGCCCATGCGCCGGAGTGGACGGGTCCGGAGGGCAAGTGCGAAGGCGTTAGGGGAGTGAGCCTCAGTTCTGTGACTGGTCTTGTAGTTGGAGGGAAGGCATGCCAAGGGCAGTTTTGCCTTGTGTGTTTTGATATGTATAGTACTATTCAACTTGCTTTGCGGGTTCCTGAACCTCGTCATGGACTGTGCGCAAAGAACAACTTTACAGCTGCTGGCTATGCTGCACCTGCTGCTATTATTGATGATATATAATACGTGTGACTAGGAAAACAGATTATTAAACTATCGGCTTGTAGGTTGATCGAGCATGCTGTGACCTCGAGATGCTTGCTTGGTGCCCTTCACAACCCGGAATATCCCCCCCCTTAGCTGCCAGCCTTGCATAGGCACTCTACTTTTGCTCGCAGCTGCACAGTTACCGAAGAGCAGTGGCATGGCAACGACCGTAGCTGAGCTCTTCAAGCGTAAGTAGAGCTTCGTAGATGAAGAACGCCCCTGTGTTCAGCCTCTCGATGTCGCGATAACGCCTTTCCAATGGCAGGTCGACAGTGATCAATCGAGGATTTGCCGGCCGCCAGAAGCCCGGCCAATGCTCTTGTCGGTGCCGAGATCGAGATGGCCAAGGGCACCTCGCCGCCACGTCTGGAAGTTTTGACAGTTCCAGGCTGCCGTTTTTCGGGGGCTTCTCGAGACATCGGTCATAGAGCGCGTCAGATTTGCGCAGTACCTCCTCAGCCCAATCGTTATGTCGTTGATCGGGTCGGGCGAGGACAAGACATTCTGACGACGTACCAGGCGCCGCTGGCTAAAGCCAGTATTTTATTGAGGCATGTACTGAGTTATCTGATGACAGAAATTGTGGGAGGATCTGCTAGATCATTGAGGGGAGTGGTTGGAGGGAGAAACTGACGTTGGGTCTGAAGTCACCTCTGGCCAGATCAAGCTTTCGGGTGAGGACCTGGTGCGTTGGGGTTCCTTTCTCGACTTCTTGTAAACGTGGAACTACTTCCCCAAGAAGATGCTTAGCTAGCGCACTTTCGAGAAAGACCCGTCGATCCCCGAAACGAACATGACGCGTGAGCAGCTTCTCCGGCACGCCAGAATCCTACACTCTTGCGCAGCAGTATGGTCTTACCCATCTCAGAAACCTCGCGTCCAGCAGTATCTACTGCATCAACTCGATTGCCAAGGGCAACATTGCTCACTCTCGCCATGCTATTATCACTCCCTCGATGAAAACATGTCCATTCGCGTGTCCGTCTCCAACCTTTGGGCTACCCGCTCCCCGCCCTTTGCGCTGAAGATGAGTCCAATTTTCACAGCCTCTGCTTGGAATTCCTCCGGAGTTTGGTTACCACATGCTCAGCATGGAATCCCCTCCCCCATTGAGTTCCATTTTGTTTGTGTCTGCAGCACCAACCTTTCCTTCTTTGGTCCAAAATGCTTCTTCTATTGTTTACACAACTGACTTGCTCGCTCTAACGGGAATTTGGCGTGCGACGGTCGGTTGCGCGCCATCTTAGCCGCAGAAAAGAGGCTCGGCCATAATCTTCAGCGGGAAAGAGGGTATTCGTACTTAACTTGGGTTCCAGGTCAAGCGGTGGAGCAAAGCAAGGCGTTTTAATTATCGACGCCCGATGCTTGACAATATATGAGCTCATGCGAGATTTGAGCCATCAACCCCAGGTGCTCAGACGCAAACACATTTCAAACTAATCGGTGTTACAGAGAATAGTTGGCTGCACAGGTAACAGAACAATATCTGCCACGCTTCCCTCTACTAGGAAGTAGTCATGTTGCCTTCTCACCCTCGGCGGCCGCACTTAAGCTTAACCGGTTTTAAAATTTAAGGAGCTTTCGCTGGTCTTCACTCAAGGCAATCTCTTGCGCATGGAATTTTGCATATAAATCATTAGATTGCTGAATAATCCAACACATTATCTAGCCTGCCCGGCTAGCTCAATCGGTAGAGCGTGAGACTCTTAAAAAAGGTCCATCTCAAGGTTGTGGGTTCGACCCCCACGTCGGGCTCAATTCCCGGCAGCGATTGTTCCTGTCAATTTTTTGGGGACACACTCTTTTTGTCCTTCTTCTATCTCTTTTCGCTACATCTCTCTCTAACTGCACTTCTCTGAGGTATGGTACCCCGCTCTTGATAATGTTGTCCCTGTGTTTTTATCCAGTTCGTTGATTCTAAAAGCCCTTCGCCAGAACTTGACTCCCGACTCACCATAACCTCCAAATGCAAAATCCAGGAGAAAGGCAATGGAGGTGATCATTGCTTCAAAATTCTATTGTTGCTAAGATCAGCCTAGCATTCGTTGCCCCCATGTTAAGCATAACCAGATCGTCAACAGCGTTCTGGAAATCTTGCCTTGGACAAGTCCAGCAAAGGTTCGGTTCCAAGAATGACGTTGCATCAAATATGCTAAGCTTAACGAGAATTTGTCGACATTGCTGACAGTCTATTCGACCTTCAAGACATGCAGGGAATAAATTTGAGTACGGGAAACAGTAACATTCGCTGATTACAAGACCTAACCGTACACCTTCATCAGGCACCTGGCCATTTAGCCATATTCCCATTAGCCGCTGATACCTTGCTGCAATGTCTAACCGCTGCATACGCCGCTTCCGTCTATACCTGCTTCAGATAATCGAGAATCTTGTCTCTCTCCTCCACCGGCATCACGCGCAGCATGTCACGCACGCCCCTCCAAGCCGCGCCCTCGGTGGCCTCGTTGCTGCTACTGGCGCGCACAAGATCTCGCATTTCGGCTGCGATAGCCTCGCTCCTAAGCGCATCAACCTTGTCGTGCACCAGTTTCCGGTTCTCCTCGTACCACTCCGCCACCTCTCTGTCATTGTTGGCAAAATCAGGGATGCCGCTCCACGCTTGCAGCATGGCAAGGTGACGACCGCGTGCCGCTTCGGTAGGAGCCGAAGAGTACGAGGCGGTGCCCTTGCTGTGGATGCCCAAGGTGATGTTCTTGATGCGCCGGAGAAGATATTCCTCGTTAAGCCTTCTGCGCACGCGCCAGTAGAAGAAGCGACGGGCCTCGCGCCACTCCAGCACCTCCCGGATGACACCCTTGGCTTTCATGCGTCCGGCGCGGTCGTGAAGGTCGGCATACTGCAGGCTGATTTGGGCGTAGATGGGCAGGAGCTGCTGTTCACGCTCCGTCATCTGCTTCTTGATACTGTCCGTCTCCTCTTTGGAGAGACCCTCTTTGGCCATCTGCTTCTTGAGGTCAGAGTAGAGGGGATCAAGGCGCGCCATCGTCTCGAGCTGCTTATCCTTCCGATACTTGATGCCAATGATACCCTCGGGCTCTAGAACACCGCCCCGAGCATCCACATCCGCATACATCTCCATGAAGGTGGGGTTGATCGTGGGGTCCACAACGACCCACGAGCCACCGCGAAGCTCACCAAAAGGCGGGATGTAAATGAACACGGGCTGCTCGAACTTGACCAAGGCATCCACGATGAAAGAACCGTACTTGAGAACCTCGTTGTACATGTCGCGCTGACCGCCGGAGAAACCGCGCCAGTTGGCGAGTATCATGAGCGGCAGTTGCTCACCGTGGTTGAAGTCGTTGATGGCCTGGGCCGTCTTAAACGCAGAATTAGGATACCAGACACCACCGGCCTCGTTGGTAAGCTGCTCAATCGAGTCGGGATTAGCAGGATCGGCGGGCGTAATATTCTCAACGGTTCGGGTCTCAACGCCGATGACACCCATGGGGATGCCGCCGAGACGAGCACGGCCGACGACAACAGTGCGGGCCCAACCACCAAGCGTCTCGACGAACGAGTCCTTGTCAAATAGGCCAGGTTGGAAGCCATCCTCGTCATCCTTGCCGGCAATCATCCACCTCACATCGTAAGGCTGCTTTTGGGGCGGAGTGTAGACCACATCGCGGTCCCAGTGGTCGACGCTCGGGAGAATCGGTGCCGGCGCGTTACGTTTCTCTGGGACAAATGACATCCATTCGACGATCTTGGAAACACCAGCGAAGTCGTCGTTGGCAGTCAAATGAGACACACCGTTCCGATACATGATCTGAGTGCCACCGAGTTGGAGGTTGGAAGTGTAAACCTCTCGTCCGAGCAAGTTGTTAAGCGCGGGGGCACCAGTAAGGATAATTGGTTGACCTTCAATCTGCACAGCACGTTGGCCGAGACGTACAAGGTAGGCGCCGATACCTGGGGAAAGTCAGTTTGTGATATAGGATTAGAACTGGTGAGTATGCAACTTACCGACGGAGCGGCAGGTCACAAGTGTGCAGGTGAAGATGTCGTTGTAAGCTCTGCTCGTGGCACCTGCAATCAAGCCTGATCCGCGCAAGCACTCGACGCCCAGCCCGTCCTCGGCGCCGACGATGGTGACGATCTTGTGCCGTTTCTCACCGCCTTCGGTAATCTCCTCGGTGATGACTTCGTTCTCAAAGCGGTGCTTGGCTTCGTCCTTAAGGTAGAGGTATTTGAACCCGGCCTCCGGCTTCTCTGCATCGTTCCAAGCGACGTGGAAGTGAGGCATCAACTCGTTGGCCAGACCGAGGCGGGCACCAGAGTTTGCCGAGAGGTAGATACGGGGAATGCCCAGCTTACGAGCCAATTCTGTGCACTTGAAGAAAAAGTTGTCTTCCTTGGGGCCAAAGGAGCCGATGTTGTAGGTAATATCGTTGGCCACCACAATGAACTTACGACCGGCGGGATACTCGGGCGTCCGAGCATTGATCAGCCAGCCGACCATGCCGCAAGTGTTGGTACCAGGCTCGCGGGACACTTCGGCCAAGTTGTCTTGGTCGTCCAGGACGAGCTCGTTGAAGTCGATGCATTCGCCAGTAGGAGGTTGATTTGGCGCAAGAGCAGGGTTCGCCTTGACCGCGTTGGTCCAGCTGTTCTGGATCGCTTGACGGAAGAGCTCTGGGAAGTCGTACACGTATTGGGTTCCCATGAGGTGAGCCTTGTAGCGCTTGGGCTGCAGCCAGTTCTTGGTCGGGTAGGGCGTTGAGACCGGGAGCAAGTGCATCGCACCAATCTTGGTGGTACCGCCGATGGAGTGGAACACCCACTCGCCCTTCTCTGACTTGCGCTCCGCGTACATCTCGACCTGGATGACGTACCCCGAGGTGTTCGTAATGATGACACGCAGGGGATACGGGGTATTAGTCGCCGGATCCGTGCAGATGATGCGGATCTCAACTTGTGCAACGCGTAAGCGCCAGCCACGGGGGCCAAACCGGTCCAAGAACCCCTGCAGCGACTCCTCAACCTCCTTGGGCTGCAGTTGGAAGATGGGACTAAAATTGATGAACATGTGATTAAGATCCGAGTTGCTCGTGCCGATAATCTCAAGCGCATCGAAGATGTCGTTGATGACACGGTCCGCCTCCGAGATCAGATATTCAGCGGTGGGGATCTCGTCACGCAGTCTGCCGGGCCGAATGACGGCACGGGTAAAAAAGCGCCGATCAGTCTCAACGTCCTTGCCGATACCCTCGTAGACATGGATGTTCTTGTTCTCAGTGAACACCGGCTTGATCTTGAACTTCGAGAGACGTGAAAGTTCAAGCTGGAAGGCGAGGGACGGCTCAATGTGACGAATACTGTCGTCTTCGACGTAGTTAGGACCCCTGAAGGTGAAATAGCCGGGATAGGAGCCGTCCTTCCGACCACAAATGAAGGTGACACGGCGGACACGGCGGGCAAACAATTCATCCTTGAATTGTTGAATCAGAGGTCGGATATCTTTCAAGATCTCATCGTCACTGCGACCTTCGGCATCCTGGACCGCGACATTGACCACAGCTGAGAGCTCATCGATGCTGTCGAGGCGCGCAGGTGGGCCCGGCCGACGCTTGTCGCTGAGTTCGGCCAGCGGGTTCGGACTCTTCTTGCGTCCGCCCGACATCGGCAAGGTGCTGAGTGCCCTCGAAAGCAAATCTTCAGCATCATCGAGATACTTGCACGGGATGATCACGCCCTTCCGGACTGGTTCTTCCTGCGTTCGCTGGGACAGATACGACAGGTCGCTGATGGAGCTGATCCGCGAGAAGCTTGGTTCGACCGGCGTCGCAGGAGTGGATGGAGCAGCCGATTGTATCGGCAATCCGAATTCAGATTGACCAATCTTACGGAGAGCAAAGTCCCAAGAAACGAAAGAGGGTGTCTTGTCGTCGTCGGTGTGGTACTCGATCTTCTTGAGAATATAAGCACGGTAAGCCCGACGAACGTATGTCTCCAGGGCAGCCAAGGAAACCCAAGGATCCTCATGGGCGAAGAAAAGAGTGAGCACATCGAAGACGGTATACTTGGAGTCGACAACCTCTTTGATGACTTCCAGATTTGGTTGGCGGTGATCCCAACCGGTCTCACCGTACCTGGATTCCACTACAGATGAGCGAAGAATATGCTCCATCTGGGCGGTCCTTTCCTCAAGCGACGGCAGAGCGCACTGAATAAGAATCTCGCGTGCCTTGAGTGAAACCTTGGCAGTTTGACGGGACTCAAGTTCAGCCAGCTTCCGCAAGACGGGCCGCAGTGTCTTTGCGACATTACCGACGTTGGGCTTGTTCGGGCGATACTCTTCAAGGATGGCCAAGATCAAAGAATTCTTCGCGGCAACCCTGCTATGAGACAAGACGGTCTGGACGACCCGCAGAATCTCGTCCTTGTGCTGGTCGCGAAGTTTCAAAATCACCTCTTCATCCTGCAGCCGGCGACCGGAGAACAGACGCTCGACATCTGCATATTGGGACAGCAAGTCCGCGATGACGTTCAATTCGCGGGCTTTCTGTCCGTCCGCGTAACTTTCGAGGATCGCCGTTAGAGGCGCGAGAGTGGCTTTAAGAAGCTCGGCGTCGGCCCGGGATTGGAGATTTTCGTCGAGGAACTTTTGGAAGGCTTTGATGAGGTTACGTGCAGGGAATTCGGCATGCCGCTGTAAGGCCCGCTCCAAAACCTGGGTAAATTGAGCATCAAGTTTGTTGGGCATGCGGGCATGAAGGGCGGAAAACTGAGCC